AACCAAAGCCAGGAAGGATTAGGTGACTTGCTCAAGGCCACAAAGCTAGTTATGGCACTGCCCTAATCACAAGGAGACCCAGACATTAGAGCTAAATATCCCACCTCCACCTCTTACTGATGGTTGTTTAATAATTAATAATGATAGCTAGCAACTACTGCGCTTCTGTTGAATACCAAGCAGACACTAAAAATCTCCACATTAATCCCATATTGCAATGGAGAAAACTAAGATCAGAGAGGAAAGTAACATGTCTGTCATGTTACTGTCACACACCAAAGCCCAAACTCTGGTCCCATAACATATTAGTCTATTTTCACACTGCTGACAAAGACATACCTGAGACTGGGAAGAAAGAGGTTTAATTGAACTTACAGTTCCACGTGGCTAGGGAGGCCTCAGAATCATGGTGGGAGGTGAAAGACACTTCTTACATGGCGGCAGCAAGAGAAAAGTGAAGAAGCAAAAGCAGAAACCCCTGAGAAACCTATTACATCTCGTGAGACTTATTCACTATCATGAGAATAGCATGGGAAAGACCAGCCCCCATGATTCAATTACACCACCCACGCCTGCCCCCCGCCCTCTCACACAGCATGTGGGAATTCTGGGACATGCAATTCAAGTTGAGATGTGGGTGGGGACAGAGAGAAACCATATCATTCTGCCCCTGGCCCCTGCAAATCACATGTCCTCACATTTCAAAACTAATCATGCCTTCCCATCAAAAGCAAGCTAGTTACTTCCTAGATACAATGAGGGTACAGGTATTGGGTAAATACAGCCATACCAAATGGGAGAAATTCGCCAAAACAAAGGGGCTACAGGCCCCATGCATGTCCGAAATCCAGCCAGGCAGTCAAATTTTAAAGCTCCAAAATTATCTCCTTTGACTCCAGGTCTCACATCCAGGTCATGCTGATGCAAAAGGTGGGTTCCCATGGTCTTGAGCAGCTTCACCCCTATGTCTTCGCAGGGTACAGCCTCCATCTCAGCTGCTTTCATGGGCTGGCATTGTGTCTGTGGCTTCTCCAGGTGCACAGTGCAAGCTGTTGGTGGATCTACCTACCACTCTGGGGTCTGGAGGACAGTGACCCTCTTCTCACAATTCCACTAGGTGGTGCCCCAGCTGCGACTCTGTGTGGGGACTACCACCCCCCATTTCCCTTCCACAATGCCCTTGCAGAGGTTCTCCATGAGAGCTCCACCCCACAGCAAACTTCTGCCTGGGCATCCACGTGTTTCCATACATCTTTTGAAATCTAGACAGGTTCCAAAACCTCAATTCTTGACTTTTGTGAACCCACAGGCTCAACACCACATGGAAGCTGCCAAGACTTGGGGCTTCCACCCTCTGAAGCCACAGCCCAAGCTCTACATCAGCCCCTTTCAGCCACAGCTGGAGCAGCTAGGACACAGGGTACCAAGTCCCCAGGCTGCACGCCACATGGGGACCCTGGGCCTGGCCCACTAAGCCACTTTTCCCTCCTGGGCTTCCAGGCATATAATGGGAGAGAGTGCTATAAAGGTCTCTGACATGGGCTGGAGACATTTTCCCCACAGTCTTGGGAATTAACATTAGACTCCTTGCTACTTATGCAAATTTCTGCAGGTCACTTGCATTTCCCTTAAAAAATGGTTTTTTCTTTTCTACTGCAGTGTCAGGCTGCAAATTTTCTGAACTTTTATGCTGTTCCCCTTTTAAAACTGAATGCCTTTAACAGCACCCAAGTCACCTCTTAAATGCTTTGCTGCTTAGAAATTTCTTCTACTGGATATGCTGCATCATCTCTCTCAAGTTCAAAGTTCCACAAATCTCTTTGCTAAAACATAACAAAAGTCACCTTTGCTCCAGTTCCCAACAAGTTCCTCATCTCCATCTGAGACCATCTCAGCCTGGGCCTTATTGTTCATATCACTTTCAGCAATTTTGTCAAAGCCATTCAACAAGTCTGTAGGAGGTTCCAAACTTTCCCACTTTTTCCTATCTTCTTTTGAGCCCTCAAACTGTTCCAACCTCTGCTGGTTACCCAGTTTGAAAGTCACTTCCACATTTTCAGGTATCTTCTCAGCAGCACCCCACTTTACTGGTACCAATTTACCATATTAGTCCATTTTCATGCTGCTGGTAAAGACATACTCGAGACTGGAAAGAAAAAGAGGTTTACTTGACTTACAGTTCCACATGGCTGGGGAGGCCTCAGAATCAAGGCAGGAGGTGAAAGACACTTCTTACATGGCAGCAGCAAGAAAAAAATGAGGGAGAAGCAAAAGCAGAAACCCCTGATAAACCCATCAGAGCTCATGAGACATATTTACTATCACGAGAATAGCATGGGAAAGACCAGCCTCCATAATTCAATTACCTTTCCCCAGGCCCCTCACACAATGTGGAATTCTGGGAGATATAATTCAAGTTGAGATTTTGGTGGGGACACAGCCACAACATATCACATTGGTGATCTTCCCCCATCCCATGCTTCAGCTGTCTCATGCACCAGGCACTGTCCTAAATGCCTCTCATGGATGGACTCATCCATTCCTCAACCAAACCCTATGATGCTGGTGCTACCTGCAGCCCCATTATACAGGCGAAAAAACTCAAGCCTAGTGACCTCCCCAGCTCTCAAAGGCAGCAAGTAACAAACCTTATCCATAAGTCAGGATGGCAATTTGACCCAGCAATTATACTCGGGCATTTAGAGAAATGAAAATATATGTTCACACAAAAACCTGTACACAAATGTTTACAACATCTTTATTTGTAATAGCTAAAGACTGGGAGCAACCCAAATGTCCTCTGAACTATGAGTAAATGGTCCAACGTAATCTGTGGTCAAACAAATGGTTAAGCTGTGGTACGTGCATATAATGAAGTAAGAGCAAAAAGGAATGCACTATTGGTAATACACATAACACTGGATAAAACTCCAGGAAATTATACTTGATGAAAAAAACCAACTCCAAAAGGTTACATACTGTATGATTCCATCAACGTAACATTTTTGAAATGACAAAATTCTAGAAATGGAGAACAGACAGTGCTCCAGGGACTGGGGACAAGGGAGAGTATGATAGGGGGAGGTGGTGGGGCTATAAAGACAGAATGAGGGATCCTTGTGAGGAACTGTTCAGTCCCTTGACTGTGGTGGGTGATACATAGGCCTGTATGTGAGAAAACTGTACAGAACTGCATCCATGCTCTCATGCATGTGCACACACACAGTACAAATAAAATGAGGAAACTCTGAGCTGTGGCCTCTATCAATATATACTGCTGTGATAAGGTACTATTGTTTTGCAAAATGTTACCAGTGGGAGAAACTGGATAAAGGGTATGTATGCAGGATCTCCCTTTATTACTCCTTTTTGGTTTATTTTTTAGACAAGGTCTGGCTCTGTCGCCCAGGCCACAGTAGTGTTGCAATCTCGGCTCACTGCAGTCTCTACCTTCCAGGCTCAAGTGATCCTCCCCACCTCAGCCTCCCAAGTAGCTAGGACCACAGGTGTGCACTACCACGCCCTGCTAAATTTTGCATTTTTTTTGTAGAGACTGGGTTTCCCTTTGTTGCCCAGGCTTATCCTGGGCTCAAGAGATCTGCCTGCCTCAGCCTCCCAAAGTATTGGAATTACAGGCGTGAGCCACCATGCCTGGCCCCTGTATTAATTTTTAAACTGCATGTAAATACGCAATTATCTCAATAAGAATTACAAGTTAAAAAAAATCTTGCCTGCCCAAAAGCTGGGCTAGGTAACCTTCTGTATTTCTTTCATCTCTTAAGACCTGCAAAATTTCCAATGCCTCCAAAGCCAGTCTTCTTTCCACCAGACCACACAACAGCTTCAAAAGCCAAAGCAAAATTAACGCTTGGTAAAGGGAAACTAAGAAAATAAGCCATCATTTCATAGAATTCGGCATCGCTAGTCATTTTATGTTTCCTCTGAAAATTACTCCAATTTGCTTTTATTTCATTAAACTGACTTCTGGCCAAAAAAATGGAAAATCTGATCCTATAAAACGTTCTTGCTCACCAAATAATCTCTCCCCATCTCTATGTGTCACCTCCAACAAGAAGTAACCATATACAAATTTCGGTTCTGAATCCTCCTTGTAAGCAGCAGCGCCAATGGATTATTGGTTCCCAAATGGTAAACGGAGCACAGGAAACAGGACAGTGGCTTAGGAGCTGAGACAAACTAAATCCAGGCGTCACCTTGGCTAGGTCACTTAAACCCGATTCTCGCCTTTCCCATCCACAGAATGGGGATGTGGCCCCACCTCCTTCGTAGACTATTAGAACACTTTAGAGATTATCTACGTGCCTGGCACTATTAGTTCATTAGCAACAACTGAGCCAAGCTCATTTTATGTGCACCTGGCCCCGAAGTCCTCATTCACCGCCTTAGAGTCCCCTCCTCAACGAGGTTAATGGTTAGCCCAGAACCTTCCCCACCTGCACCTCTCCTCTTTCAAACACCGCACAGCTCATCTCATCTCATCCCATCCCACCTCGCCTCACCCCCGCCAAAAGGAAAACAGACGAGCCTCCGGATCGGCCACCTGCGCAGCAGCCCCGCTCCAGGGCATCACTGCGCCCGATAGACTCTGCTGTTACTATTATTACTGTTGATGAATAACCACCTAACGGTGCGTGGGAGGGGCCGACTCCCCAGGGAGGTCTGCGGAACCCCAGCCCCGGGCAGCCCAAAGCCTCTCAGAGGCAGATTTCGGGCTAACAAGCCCAAGTACGTATACAACAGCTTTCCCGACAGGGCACAGACACGAGTTGTGAAGTTTCTAGAGTGCATTTTTCCGCGTTTCCCTGAGTCGCTCGGCAGGGGCGATGCTGCCAGCGGCTGGGGGTGTGGGCACCGGGGGCCGCGACTGGAGGGCCCCGGAAGTCCGCTGCGGGGCGGATCTGAGTCCTAGGGCGCCCACCTCCCAGCTGGGCCTGCAGGAGGGGCCCCAGGCACCGGGGCGGGGTCGCCGCCTCACTCACCGTCTGTGCTTCTCTTCGCCTCCCGGTAGCGCTCCCACAGGTAGCCCTTCATGTCCGGGGCGGTCCCGGGTGCGGTGCACAAGGGCCGAGCGGGGCCCGCACACGGCCTCCCTCGGGCCGCGGTTCCGCAGCCGCCCCGGAGAGCCGCCGCCGCCCTCGCTCCGGCCCCGCGGGCCACCGCCGCCGCTGCCATGGTCATGCCTGCTGCCCGCTGCCGCCACCGCCGCTCCGCGAGTGCTGCCGCCACCGCCGCTCCGCGAGTGCTGCCGCCGGGCCCAAGCTCTGCCCGCGCTCTGCCCCACAGGCGGGCGGCTCCTGCGTCGGAACACGTGGCGGCGTGGGCCGGCCCTCCGGCCGCTGCGGGGCGGGAAGGGGGCGGAGTCGGGGGCGGGGCATGCCCAGGGCGGAGTCGCGAGGTGGGCGGGGTCCGGGGCGGGGGCGGGGCGGGGCGGGGCCGGGGGCCTCAAGCCCAGCCTGCCGCGGTCAATTCCAGGGTGGCACGGCGGTGGCCGTGTGGTGGCGCGTAGACCACAGGGATGGAATGACCGGATACGACCCCGGCGCCGCCAGCCCAGCTCCGCCGCACCTTCCTCCTGCCTTCTGGGGTTGACCCCAGCTCTGGCCGCACGGACAGGGCTCCTCCCATGCCAGTTGCTCTGGCCCAGGCCCCAGAAGGTGACCTCTCTCCGCATTAATGGCCTCTGCAGTCTGAACCTCCCCTGGATCGTGGGGCCGGTCTGGGACGTCCCCGACCCCCAGCTTAGAGCTATACAGGACCGCCCGTGAGTTGGTGGCTGGGCCGAGGCTCCACTCGTGGTCTGATGTTGGCTGGAGGATCCCAGCCCCTTAAGACCTCAGTAAGTTTGAAGGACACTCCCGTTACACAGCCTGGAAGGCCAATACCCCGCCCTAAATTTCCACCTGGCGACAGAGGTCCTCGGGACACGGTCACCCAGCTCCTGCGCCTGCCCAAGCTAAGGGCTTAGTGCACAGGTCTTCCCTCAAACCTACTAGGCTGCACCCATCCTGCGCCTGTGGTTCCACAAAAGCCAAATGAACAGCATCCCTACCTGACGGCAATTCTGTGTGGACAGAGTCAGACACAGCTTCTGCAGGGAAGACTGATGTGGCAGAGCCAGAACCCTGCTGAGAATCGCTGGACAGCAAGGGCTTCCCAAGCTGTCCTGTGGTTACTTAATTTTGAGCAGGTGGAGTAGTGGGAATAGCCCTTAAGGCTGGCACTCTGCCAAGGAGACAATACTGCCTTGTGTGAAATGATTGGAGCACAGTTTAAGACAAACAACCCAAGGCATTAGTGTATGCTCCAGTTGTGGGATGGAGGGGTCTGGAGGTATTTCATGGAAAAAGGTGGCATCTGGGTTAAACTACCATTTATTGAAGGCTTGCTGTGTGCAGTATCTCATGCAATCCTCTCAGTAATTCTGAAAAGCAGACACCATAATTTCTCCAATTTTACAATATAGTCATCCTTCTGTACATGCCGGGAATCGGTTCCAGAACACCTGCCCCACGCATACACAGCAAAATCTGCAGATGCTCAAGTCCTTTATATAAAATGGCTACTATTTGCATACACACATACTTCTATATATTTTAAACCATCTTGCTTACTTTAAAAAAAAAAAAAAACAGGGTCTTGCTCTGTCACCCATGCTGGAGTGCAGTGGTATGATCACAGTGCACTGCAGCCTCCACCTCCTGTGCTTAAGCGATCCTCCCACCTCAGCCTCCTGAGTAGCTGATACTACTATGGGTGTGAAGTACAACGACTGACTAATTTTTGTATTTTTTGTAGAGATAGGAGTCTCGCCATGTTCCCCAGGCTGATCTCAAACTCCTGGACTCAAGCAATCTGCCCACCTCGGCTGCCCAAAGTGCTGGGATTATAGGCATGAGTCATTGCACCAGGCCTCAATTACTTTTCATACCCAATACAACGTAAATGCTCTGTAAATAATTGTGATACTGTATTTTCTATTTGTATTACTTTTCATTGTTGTTTTTTTTTCTAATATTTTTATCCATGGTTGCTTGAATCCACAAATGCAAACCTGCAGGTACAGAGGGATGACAGTAATGAAACTGAGGCCAAGAAAGATGAAATAACTTTCCTAAAACCACACAACTGAACCCATTCTTCCATTTGGCTTCCTAACATAGAGTATGTAGGATTTAGGTGGGTGATAGGGAAGAAAGTAGCCAATAAGTAATCCCTAACAGTTAATGGTTAATGTTTTACAAATCACTGATAAGGTGAGACAATAAAATGTTTAAAACAGATATAATATCAAATACATGGGCTCTGGTACTTTCAACTTACATTATGGTTTTAGTTTTATTCCAAATTACATATTTTTAAATTTGTTTCATAAAAAGGTTTGATGATAGTAATTGTAAATTTTGTTCCCCTGAAAAATTAATTCATAAATTCAAAATGGATAAACTATAACAATACAAAAATAATACAATTAGAATTTTAATAACATTGCTTCTGTATAGTTTTGGATATGGAACACTATGAGGTCAACATTGCTCTATTTACCATAGAAATGTGAATCACCTAAAAATTCTTCTTCTTAGGTAAAATTAGTTACAATGTTTAAGTGCCTAAATAATCATATTTCCAGACCTTGATTATTATCACTCTTGTGTGTTTTAGAAGAAAATATTCAATAAAAGAATTCTAATTAAAGACAAGTAGAAAAAACAGATGTCAAGAAGCCCATGATAAATTTTTATTATTTATTAATATCATTTGAGCTCTTCAACAATTTTGTTTCAACATGAGATCTTCTCTGCAAAAAAGACTTCTGAGACATCAAAATTTAATCTGGGCTATGAAAAAGCCACTTTTCTGATATGAGCTCAGATATGGATTCCCAAGGGTTTTTTGTGCTAAGAGGCCACAGCAGGGACAGCAGTCAATGGTGGTGATTTCACCTTTTCCACTCTCACTTTTACCTAACAAAATTCTTTGCCTTGAAAGCTTTACTAAACCATTCATTTTACCCAAAGATAAAATGTTAGAGGAATAGTCTTTCTTTGGTGCCTCCTTTCCTGAGCCATTCCATATTTCAGCATTATTTTGTGTCTTCCGTTGTATCTTTTCCTTAGCAGATTTGCAAATGATGTGTTTCTTTTTCCCTTTCCCAGAAGCACATTTTGAGTTATCTGAAATTGTCTGAGGAGCTAAGTCTGTTTTTTAGCCCTGTATAAGTTATCTGTGTTTGTGTACTTTGCAGAGCTCACTGTATTAGAACTCTGAGCACTGTGATAGCTTAATTTAAGCAAGTGCTCCCATAATGAGAAGCCATTCCTAGAACCCGAAGAATGTGACTGGCTTATACTTTGAGGCCAACATCTCCGGCTCCGGATCCACTCAATTTCTCTCAGAAGGCTGCAAAAGATGAAAAGTTGTCAAGAGGTCATATATATATATATATATAACATGAATAACCAGAAGCATATTTCTGTTTGAAACATGAAACAGAAACTCACTGCAGGATTCCATGGATTGATGAATGAGAAGATCCCAGGTGAATCACCCTTAAATCAAGTGATCTGTACAAGTAGTCTACTGCCTCAATCATGACGTGATGACAAGAGTCAGTTGCCAATAACTGACCTGCTAGATATTTGAAAATAAGAATATTAGACTTTTTATTACTCATGAATTCAGACATTTAAAAGAGAAGAATAAGAAACATTTATAAAAGGTGGCATTGGAAGATGACTTATTTGTAATATTCAGCCAAAAAATATTTAACTGAGTCTAATCATAAAGAAACAATCAGGCTGTGGACGGTGGCTCATGCCTGTAATCCCAGCACTTTGGAAGGCTGAGGCAGGTAGATTACTTGAGCCCAGGAGTTTAAGACCAACCTGGGCAACATGGCAAACCCCCATCTCTACAAAAAAATACAAAAAATAGCTGGGCGTGGTGGCGCATGCCTATAGTCTTAGCTATTTAGGAGACTGAGGTGGGAGGATTGCTTGAAACCAGGAGGCAGAAGTTGCAGTGAGCTGAGACTGCACCACTGCACTCCAGCCTGGGTGACAGACTGAGACCCCGTCTCAAAAAAATAGAAAGAATCAGACAGATACAAATTGAAGGACATTGGGATAGGGATGGGAGGGTGAAACCTGACTTCAACTCTTCAAAATGTCAATGTCATAAAGACAAAACAAATGTACTTAATTCTAGACTAAAAGAGACAAATTCCAATACAAGATCCTCAATAGGATTCTGGATCTAAAAGTTAACAGCTATAGAGAACATTACTAGATACCTGAGGAAATTTGAATATGGACTATAATTAGATAATAGTCTTAGGTAATAAATTTCCTGCATTTGATTATTGTGGCTGTATAATCAGTGAGTACAAGGAGAACGTCCTTGTACTCCAAAGACATATGCTGAGGTACAGTATTTAGATATAAAAATGTCATGTTTGCAACTAACTTTCAAATGATTCAGAAAAAAATGTATGTATGTATGTGTCTTTTGCTTGCACATGAAAGAGAGAACAGAAACGTGGTAAAATGTTAACAATTGGTAGCCAGGTGCAGTGGGTGGCTCATGCCTGTAATCCCAGCACCCTGGGAGGCTGAGGAGGTAGAATTGCTTGAGCTCGGGAGTTTGAGACCAGCCTGGGCAACATAGTGAGACCCCGTCTCTATAAAAAATAATAATAACAAGTATTTAAAATTTGATGAAAATAGGTGAAGGTTATATGGTCATCCACTATACTATTCTTGAAATTTCTCTGTAGGTTTGAAATTTTTCAAAATAAAAAAATCGAGAAAAATCATTTCCAACTGCCACAGTCAATAACTGAATTCTCCGCCGAGCACAGCAGCTCACGCCTGTAATCCCAGCACTTTGGGAAGCAGAGGCAGGCAGAGCACTTGAGGTCAGGGGTTCGAGACCAGCCTGGCCAACATGGCAAAACCCCATCTCTACTAAAAACACAAAAATTAGCCACGTGTGGTGGCATGCACCTGTAATCCCAGCTACTCAGGAGGCTAAGGCAGAAGAATCGCTTGAATCCAGGAGGCGGAGGTTGCAGTGAGCTAAGATCATGCCACTGCACTCAAGCCTGGGCAACAGAGTGAGACTCCATCTCAAAAATAATAATAATTCAATTCTCTAAAATTTGTTAAAATAAAAACAATCCATTTTACAATCTAACTTGCAGATGGTACTTATTTACTCATTTTACCCATTTACAAGACTGCTTTTAAGGGGCTGAACTTATACCATTGCTTATAA